CAAAGAATTTGCATAATTTAATCCATAGAGCAATGTTCAACAGATGTCAAGCCCATAGTTTTAAAGAAGAACGCCAACACTTTGAATTATACCTAGTAACATATCAGCCACTGATGCAGCTCTTCAAGCACTGGTTAGAGTGCATAATTTGCTATAGTCTGACAGCAGCATTTTTAAAAAATCTATTAAGCTGCATTGAAATATATTTTTTTAATAAGCATATCTTGGCTAATGGCAGGCAGGTTATTTCTGCCCAGGGAAGGTCACTCTATGGGTGCCAGCATTAACAGGTAAGAGGATGTTTGTGCAACTGGCGCTATTTCCAAGTTTAAGGATTATACTAAAAGTTGTCTAAGACTATACCAAGGTAGAATCAAGTTTCTTATGGGTGCCCTTTCTGCTCCCCATGCTGAGTACATAAACATATACCCAAAGCTGATTTACAAATAACAACAATGCAAAATCCTTTCAGTCATAATCTTTTTAGGTTCTTTTCTTAAGCAAAAAGTGAATGTGCATGATTGAAAAATAGCATATAAATCCAGCCTCTCATTTATTTCACCATAAAACATAAGGAGACAAACACAGAAACTGTCTCAAGCTCATGCACACACACTGCAGAAAATTAGTTATAAATAATTCCATTATTATTATTATTAAAAAATGGAAATAGCTAATTAATGCCAAGGAGATGAGTCAGAGGTTACAGTCTAGTGGCTAATTTAAGAGTGGGCAACTTTATTCATTATTCATTCATACATTAATATTTATAGCTTGTCCCAATCCATATAGACTTTTAGCAGTGAACAACTTAGTTCCTAATATACAAAACAGTTTTTAAAAATACGGCAGTAAACAAAGTACGTATTGTATGGTAGATACCCAGATTTAGCTAAGGGCCAACAGCACATCAAAATAATATTGCTTTAGCTTGCTTACAAAATGCAAGGAGGATTAGGAATCACTCTACTTCCAAGGAAATAATATTCTGTAAATGCGGGCCACCAGTGAGAAGATCTATTGTTTGGTCTATACCCAGTGTACCTCACAAGGAAGGGGAACCTTCAGTAGGCCCTCTCTAGAGGGCAGGTTTTATTTTGGCAAGATATTGCCTGAAATAAAGGTAATGACCAACACTTTGAATTGAACTTGGAAACCTACTAGTAGACAATGCTAGGACTTCACACTTGGTGTCACTCTAAGAGTCACTTTGTGTGAGATGGACAGCTATATAAATATGATAAATAAATAAAATAAAATATTGATGGGATTGGCCCATCACCAATCTTGCTGCTACATTTTGTACCAATTGCAGCTTCTGGATGTCTGAGGAGAACCATAGCAGATGATGTCACAAATTTATCTAATCAATTTATCTAATCCAGCATTCTCTTCCTACACTTCCCAAAAGATGCCTGTGGGAAACCCACAGACTTTGGGTTTTATTCTCCAGCCATGGGCTCCAGAAGGGATTGAACAACAATCTTCAGGCTTATAAAACCACCCACCAAAACCCTATCTAGGCTATCCCATAGCTTTAGTTCATTGGCATATAAATGGTAGATAATTCCACAAAAATATTTCTCATGCATGAACTGGGAAACAGAATGTGAAGGTAACATTGATGGACAGTGATAAAGCTTGCTTGTTGAAGGGAATAAATCAGTGGTTGTACATAATAGTCAAACATCTTCTCATAGGTCTATATAAATTGGGGGTAACTGAAAAGAAGGCCTATCCATAAAAACTTCAGGAAAGAAGGAAGGCATAATATAATATAAAGCAATAATAACTGCATTGCACTGGAGTATGCACCTATAGCAATTTTTATCATTTAGTAATACAGCTGGTATGCAGTTGAGCATTATTCAGAAACCTACAAAATCTCAATAAATCTCAGTAAATAAAAGCCAGTGACAAGACTTTGCATCCAGCAGAAGGTTATGAGTGCAGATAAAATGCAAACTCAAAAGATGGTGTCAGCTGATGGATTATGTGAAGTGAATAACCATTTGAGAAATAAATAGCAGTATTCTGATTAATATAGCAATCTCCATAGGAAAGCACCAAGGCTGCCAAATGCAGCAGGCTGCTCTTCTCAGTGCTTATTGAAGACCTCAAGGGTATCACATGAGATGGGAGTGTCTGCAGGATATGGTCAAGAAGATTAAGCTGGTGGTCATGGCAGTGCAGTTGAAGCTTCGCCTGTTTTCTTATGTGTGTCCCACATTATGTGATGCACTTAACAAACAGGCAGGGCTTTGATCATGGTTGTAACCGCCATCTTGATTTTTCTTTTGTATCACACCCTGAAGGCACCCCTGCTTGAGAAGACTGCAAAGTCTTATTCAATTGTTTTACGCTGTCCAGAGTTGCTTTGTGTGAGATGGGTGGCTATATAAATGTGACATATATATATATATATATAGAGAGAGAGAGAGAGAGAGAGAGGGGGAGAGAGGGAGGGAGAGGAGAGAGGAGATTTGGTTCAAAAAGCATAAAATCCAAATCCCTCATTAATAAAATTCTAGTAATGAATGAAATAATTGCCTATTTGTTCTCACACTGGGTGGAGTGCCAGATCCATCTCCATTCTCACCAACTTGAGAATTTTGATAATTACTCTCTTCCCATATCTGCCAGGCTTTGCTCTGAGGCAGAAATGTTGTGAAGAAGTTTCCTCAGGCAAAGGATCGAAAGAATAGCACATTTTTAGTTATTTTAGTTAGTTATTCCCAAGTAGAGGAATTAATGGTTTTTCTGCCTTATGTTCAAAAATAATTTTATTTATTTTAGCTTAATTTACTCATCTGGGGGAGAGGCACCCATTATGGTTCTGTCTTAGAAAGCAAAATGTCTTTAGTCAGTCAAACCCTTGTGCGCATAAAAGCTCTTATTTGCACCTATATAGTGACAAGCAGAAACTGAGGCACACAAGTTATGTTTAATATAGTGAACAGGAAAGAAAAAAATGGGAATATAATGGATATACACAACAACAGAGAAGCAGCCGATCTCTCACTGCAACTGAAAAGCAAAACAGGCATGATGGTAAGTTTTAAGATCATTTTCGCAAAACAGGGAAGGGGGATCTCCGCTGCAACCACAAGAAATACAATACAAGAAAGTAGTATTCTGAACTGAACAGTAAATCACTGTGAGAAAAGAAAAAAACTGAGGAAAGTTCACCTGAAGATGTTGCCTGGAATTTGGCAACAGTAACACAAATAAATAAAAGGAGAAAGATGGCTCTCAAACAGCTTGGTAGGGCTGACACTGAGAACTAGATGCAAAGTCAAATCAAATGCAGAAAACGACATAAACAATTACCGGACGAATTGTCCCTAAGCACAGCTGTATAGTTTTCTTAAGATATATTTAGGAAACACTGGAATAAACATAACAATTTACATATGTATCTCCCCTACTAACAATAGTTCTGCAACAACATATGCAGGAATTATTAGTGAGGGCAAAAATGTGTTCAGGTTTTCCTCCAGAAAAATGTGTCCTGCAACTGCTACTCTTAATCACTGAAGCATGGGGGCTGTTATAGAAAATGGCTGTTGTTGTTGCCGCCACTAGACTCTAAGACTCTAAGGATCAAGCTTCCTTGCCTAAGCTGTACCCACTCATCTATCCCACCATTTCGAATGCCGGAGCAGAGGCATGAGCTTTTGATAGAGCAAAGGTGTTTATATGTCTTTCAGCTTCCAGCTGCTACAAGGTGTGTTTGCAGCAGAGGGGGCCACAAAAGTCAAAATGGCAGCCACAACCATGCATTGAAGCCCTGCCCCTTTTTTACCTGCATTACACTCTACTTCTGAATCTCTAGCCCTCACCATATCTCAGACAATCATTACTGCAGGGAAATGACTTTCAGAACAGCCAGATGTTAGTTCCTCACAAGTTGTGCCACTCCCACTACTTGGCGACAGATACAAGACCAAAATACAAGAGAACCAGGAGGCTCAGTGTAGTTTCCCTCAGTCTTTTTCGCTGTCCTGAGCATAACTGTGTTTATTGAGTGGTGTATATAACTGTCCTACATTTGGAATTTAGAACCCCAACTTACAATTCACAGGCCCAAATTGGTCCAGAATAAATATTCAGCACAGACACATATGCTTCGGCAACCAATGAAAGGGAAATTGCTTGCCTGAAGAGCACTGTGATAATTTCCTTAAGAGCAGTGAGTATTTTCATTCATTACACCTGATTATTAGAGAACACAGGAATGACAACTTTGGAGTCTCTTGACTGCATTGAACTTGAAGCAAACCATTTCACTTTATTGTACCATTCTAGTCTCTAAATATAGAAATAAAATCAAATAAATGAGATATGATACAGTATGAAGAAAAGATTGGGCATAAATTGTTTAAACATACTATTATTTCCCCAAATAGACATACCCCCTCAATGAAACGGAATGAAATGGAGTCCTGCCAAAAAAGTATTTTATTGAGTCCTTATTCATTCCATATTTTATTCATTTGAATATATCTGGATTGATGGCAGATTGAGCATATATTAAAATGTAATCCTGCACAAGGATTAAATTCCACCCTCCTTTAACATTTACACGTTCCATTAACAAATGGAATTGGGCCAGCAGTAGTTGGGAGGATCAGTGAGTAAAGGAAGAATTAGAAATTCCTACCTATGTACACTATAGTCCTGACTTGGTTGCTTTTGCTGAAGAAAGAGTGGCTGTACCTTTGAAAATACATGTAGTTTACCCGTGAGAAAAATGGCCAGATTATCTCAGATATTCAAATCACCTGAAGGCAGGAAGGGATTGTAACTCTAATCTTTCTTCTCTACCCTAACTAGGCCATTTGTGGAGCTGATGTATGTCAAATGTTATATTGCAAAGCTGCATTTCAACTAATGTAATATGTCTAATAAACTGCATGGTTCTTCAGGGAATTTAGCCAGGCAGAAATGAATGATTAAATCAGCGGAACAGCTTGATGTTATAAGTTAGATGTATTTACCTCCAAAATTAAGCAGCAAAGACAAGAATATTCGGGCAAAGCATACTTCAGCCAAATTACCTTTATCAGAAAGAAAGTATCAGATTTCATTTCTCTGTTGTAAGAATGAAAGAGAGGTAACTACGCTCTTCATTTCTCTGTACTTTTCACATTCTTATGTCCCGTTGACCATCCTAGTGATCCTGTTCATAGAATATCTTCATGGTTAAGGTGTGAAATTAGGAAAGACTCCCTTCAAGGCTACTTTCAGTCATGGAAACTCATTGAGTGACTTTGGGCCATTCACTTTCTCTCAGCCCAACCTTTGTCATGGAGGAAATATTGTCATGGGGGATAAAATGAAGCCACCTTTGAGTTCTTGGAGGAAAAGTGAGATATAAATGCAAGCAAGCAATAAATAAATAAATAAGTCTACAGTTCTAAAATGTAATTTTACTATAAGGTGATTTGGTGTATTTCCTCATGAGCAGGTGTTCTGGTGAAATAAAGCATTATTTCCATTAGTGATATAGTTCCTTTACTGATGGCTGGGTGATGCTTTTGGAGTCTTGTGGAATGGGTGGCCATAATAAATTTAATTAAAAAAAATAATAAATCATTAGTGCAGAAATGTTTCTCAGAGAGCTTCTATCCTTAAAGGGGCTGCTAAAAAATTCTAAAAAAACAAATTTAACTGATAAATAACAAAGCGGGAGATCAAGCAACCTAATATGAGAGCCGCTGTTCATTATAACAATACAGGTAGTCCTCACTTACTGTCCATTTGTTCAGGGACCATTTGAAGTTGCAATGGTGCTGAAAAAATAACTATGGCCCATTTATGACCTTCACAGTGTCCCTCAGTCACATGATCGCCATTACAGCCAGCACATGTTTGCCTGACATGTTTTTTTCTCCCCCCTTCCCAACCACTTGCAGAGCAGAGATTGGAGAGAAGGAATTGCAAGAAAGTAAGCTGTTTGCTCTTCTACACATTGAAAGCAATGCAACTGCACCAGCAGCTCAGCTGGGAGCCATGGGTGCGCTATGCAAACAGTTTACAGAACTCTCTTGAAATCTCTTCCTCTCCAATTTCGCTACTCTGCAAGGGGGGGGGGGGCAAAAAGCAATTTCTGTAGGCAATCTCTCTTTTGCCTGACATCCCCCTCACCACAGAGTGGAGACATTGGAGAGGAAAAGATTTCAAGAGAATACTATAAACTGTTTGTATAGCAGGGCTGCAGCTCCCAGCTCCAGGCTGCACCAGGGTGGCATTGCTTTCAATGTGTACAAGACGGTAAGCAAGCCCTCGAGCATCCCAAAGGGCAGCGGAGTGATTAGGAAGCAAACAAAAGCTGAAGGTAGAAAACACAGTCGCGGTCACATGATTTCCCACTTAGCAACCCCTTCGCTTAACAGCATAGTTGTCAGTCCAAATTAGGGTCATTAAGTGAGGACTACCTATAAACAAGCAAGCTCACCTGAGAGAAGGTGGGTGGCCTGAGACTTTGGTCCTAAGCAGCATCAAGTATTAATGATGAAAACCAACATTTAACTAGGTCTGAAATAAATGGGGAGATATTGCAGGTCTTTTTGCAATTTGCTGAAATGCCCCAATAATTAACTTCATCATTATGTTCTTGTTATGATCTGAACAACATATTTTGAGCAGGTAGAAGGCTGTCCTGTGTGCAGTGCAGTGTGTGTGTGGTTGATTAATTGAGGGATGAACTACATAATATGTAAAATATGTATTTCGCAGCGGGCTTTTTATTTACTTAAGTGTATGCATAAGGTGGCCTGATCAGGAATGGGGTCACTGTGTTCTGGGAGATGGAAGCTTAAACTTTTTCCCAGGTTCTCTGTTTACACATCTCTCTCTCACTCACTCACACGTAGAGAGAACCCTTGTGGCCTTATCCATTAATTATGTGACTCAATCAGCCAGAGTGGAGTTAAAGAATTAAGTTTCTCTTTCTCAAAATGAAGGCCAGTAAATACCAAAGTGACCATTTCATAGAAATCATGTTTTTATGCAAGGATTACATTATCATAGTATCACAGTTTCTTCCTAACTCCTGCTTTTACCACTGCCATATATATTTAATTTCTACCTTCACTCAGATTCAACATTCCATTTAACACTGTTACCTACATCATATATTTTAAGATAACTGAGTATTATATCTGCATAGATCTTCTTTTCCTCCATTCTGATCTTTGTATCTACACTTCTTTTTAAGATA